AAAAAGGGAAGCAGAAAAGAGTTGGTACAGGGTTGACCCTGCCTCCTGCATTGCCTCTAGGATGTGTTCCTCACATTAAGCCCCCCCTGCTCTCATCCCTATCACAGCTTCATCTAACAAAGCCTCTTTTCTACTTCCCTGGCCCCACTTGGGCATTATCTATCAAAATTTTAAATGTATGAACTCAGAAAATCATCTAGGTCGATTTCTAGCCTATAGATAAAATCTCAATGTACACACAGAATTTATTCAAGAATGTTTATTGTAAGAAGGAAGATTTAGAAACAAATGTCCATCAAACGGGATGGTTATATAAACTACAATAAAGCCATGCTACTGTGCAGCAGAAGGGAAAGGAGGTAGATCTCCATGACTTTGTTGTTAATGAAAAAAGGCGAGTTGAGGAATAAGGCATCCCTTGTGATACATTCTAAGGTTATATTTTTAAATAATTCTACATGTACATATGTGAATATACATCTACATGTACATATGTATGTGGTCATTGTTGTTGTTAGGTTCTGCCAAATGAAACACTGTCTGGTCCTGTGCCATCCTCACAATTGTTATGTTTGAGACCACTGTTGCTGCCACCATGTCAATCCACCTCATTGATGGTCTTCCTCTTTTTCATTGACCTCCCACTTTATCAAGGAAGATGTCCTTCTTCAGGTACTGGTCCCTCCTGATAAGATATAGTATATACATGTATATACATTGTTGTGATTATATATATATATATATATAGTTATTAAATGATGTCGAGTTAGTTCTGACTCATAGCAACCCTGCATAGAGTTTCCAAGGAGCAGTTAGTGGGTTTCAATCACCAACCTTGAGGTCAGCAATCCATCGTTTATCAGAATTCCATATGAATACATATACCAGTTGGCTGCATGAGGGGAGGGAAGAGGCTCTGCTAGATGAAGATATGACGGGGATGTAGGGTGAGTTACTGTGAGGAACACCTTCTGGAGGCAGTATCAGGAGACAAGGCCAACTATAGACCAGTTTCTTCCACTTTCCTGTTTCATTAAGAGACGGACCTGTAAGTGTTCGGTCCCTTGAACTGGAAGAAGAAAGATATAGCTTTCATCCAGAGAACTTTTTCCTCTTTTAGATTTCTTTTCTATTGTTGTTATTGTTAAGTGCTGTCAGCTGTCAAGTCAGTTCTGTCTCATAGAGATCCTGTATGGGGTTTGGTTGTTGTTGTTGTTGTTGTTAAGTGCCGTCGAGTCGGTTCCGACCCATAGCGACCCTGTACAGGGTTTCCGAGGGTGTAAATCTTTACGGGAGTAGAAAGCCTCATCTTTCTCCCGCGGAGCGGCTGGTAGTTTTGAACTGCTGACCTTAAGGTTCGCAGCCCAATTCGTAACCTAAAGGAGTGACTGGTGAGTTTAAACCACCAAGCTTGTGGTTAGCAGTCTAGTACTTATCTACAGGGCCACACTAGGACTCCTCTTTTTTACTGGTGTGGGTGTATGTGTGTATATATATGGAGTCCTGGTACAGCGCTATACAATAAGCACTGGACTGCTCATTGTAAAGTTAGCAGTTTAAACCCACCATACACAGTCACTATGAGTCAAAACCAACTCAATGGCACTTAACATCATAAGTGGACATATATGTGTGTATATGCACATATGTAGTATTTTAAAGCCCCGCCCCAATAAGAGAAAACTTGTTTGGGAAGATAGGGTTTGTCATGGATTGAGTTGTGTCCCCCAAAATACATGTCAACTTGGTTGACCCATGATTCTTAGTGGTTTGGCAGTTATGTGATGATGTGATATGATGTGATCAGCTCTGATTGGATGTAATTATCCTATGTGCTGTAAATTCTCATTTCTATGATGTAATGAGGTCAGATGTAGTCTACACAATTATGTTGTATCTTGAGTAAATCTCTTTTGAGATATGTTGTTGTTGTTAGGTGCCATCAAGTCGGCACTGACCCATAGCAATCTTATGCACAGCAGAACTATATAAAAGATATTAAACAAGCAAGCAGAGCTCAGAGGGATCTATAACCACCAAGAAAGAGAGTTAGGATTGGAGTGTATCCTTTGGACCTAGAATCCCTGTGCTGGGAAACTCCTAGAGCCAGAGGAAGACTGATGTGAAGATGCATGGAGATATACAGGGAATGTTGGGCCTACGAATGTTGAAAAGAGATAAGGACCTTTCTCTAGAGCTGACAAAGAGAATGCCTTCCCATAGAGCTGGCACCCTGAATTTGGTCTTCTAGCCTCCTAAACTGTAATAGAATAAATGTGCTTGTTAAAGGCATCCACTTGTGGTGTTTCTGTTGTAGTAATATTAAATAACGAAGAGGATTGAAGAGGGATTTTTTACTTTTTGTTCTATATATTTATGTCATGTTTAATGTTTTATAATCAGAATATATTCACATTACCTTATGATAACACCAGCCAAAACAGCAACACTCTATATATCTGATGTACTATCTTTCCAAGGCTACTTACTCTAAGTAAAACTAGTATGCCAGTAGGTAATGGAAGAGTAAGGATTACAAGAGGGAAGGTCTATTTCCTCACAGGCCTGTCAGATACTTCTCATCAAAGATACAATGGACAGGTAGCGCTCAGTCTCTGACAAACCAGTGCTTGTTGTACCACTGAGACCACCTGACAAGTTGCCCCTTGCCACATGCATACAGCCTTTTCTTCCAACCCATAAAGCTAAATTCCTGCCATTATATCAAGGTTCCATACTAGTATCATTACAGTTCCTTAAGTCTGATAGAATCAGAAACAGTAGACATTTAAGGAATGATAGTTGAATTAATGAATGGCAAATGGATGGATGAATTAACATATGCAATAACTTGTAAGTACTAAAACGATGTATCACAGGGTCTGGGCAGATGAAAATCTTTTTAAAGCTGGCAATTTCTGATTGTTTTCTTTTTAACTTACATGAGTTTTGTTATTCCAGTCGTATACACATTTGATTCCACTACCTTGTCTGAAAAGACGAAGACCTTCTTTTTCCAACTGAACACGATGCATGTCAGATACATGATACCTGAATAAACTTGTTTGCTATAGCTCCCAATGACATAGATGAATAAATCCATGGAAATTACAAGAAATTCCCACCAAAAAGCATGAAAGACCTAAGGTTTTTCCCTATTTACTAGCTAATAAGTTGGTCTGTCGCAGTTTCATGAATGATGACAGGAGACACAGACTTCTATAGGTCAGAGAAAAGAACTTTATTACTCACAATAATAGCAATAGTCAAAGTACCAGCACGTTTATACCAGTTCACCAATCCCTCAATCCCTACAGGCCTTCACAAAAAGAACTGCTGAAGCCTGCTCATGCAGTAGGTTGATTATAAAAGACGACCATGGAATTTAGGTAATCTGAATCTTTGCTCATAGACAATAATAGGCATGCCTGCCCATTCTTCCAGAAGAAACATTATTTTTATTATCCTGGGCAGTACACATTCCTCTCCCCATTGCCTAAGAAGACACTATCTTCCAAACCTGGAAGCAAACATTCCCTTTACTATGGAGAGAAACACTAGCTCTGTATTTTAAGGATGTCTGCTATAAAAACATCCTTTAAAAGGTAGTCTAAGACAAAGGGCAGACAATGCTTCACCCAGAAGAGACACAGGAACACAAGAGACCCCAGCAATTCCTTTATTGTCTTCCCTTGTCTCCATATCCCCAGCTGGTTTTCCTTTGTATATGCATGAATGTGTGGTTTCTTCTTTGAAAAATTAAGAATTTTTTTTTTCAGCTAGGGATTCTGCTTTTAGAAAAGAAAAATAGTTATGGGTTCTATGGTAGGCAGCTTCCAAAATGGTTCCCAGAGAATCCCCATTTCCTGGTATTCACATTCTTATGTAATCCTCTTCCCTTATGTGCAGGCTAAAACATGACTTGCTTCCAATAACTAGAATACAAAAAAGAGCTTGGGATGTTACTTCCCATTCTTCATAAGTTATGAAGACGATGACTTCCATCTTGCTAGCACTCTCTCTGGCTCTTTGCCCTTGTTGCTCTCATGAAGCTAGCTACAATGTTGTGAGCTGCCCAATGAAGAGGTCCGTATGACAAGGAACTGAAAGTGACCTCTGGTCATAGCCAGCAAACAACTGAGGCCTTCAATCCAGCAACCCATGAGGAACAGAATCCTGCTAAGAAAACATGAGTGAACTTGGAAACAAATCCTTTTCACCTTGATTTTATATTGTGAAAGATAATAAAGGAGAGGACCCAGCTAATCCATGCTCAAATTCCTGACCCATATAAGCTGTGAGGTATTGAATATTCGTATTTTAAGCAATTAAGTCCCAGGGCAATTTGTTGTGTAGCAATAGATAACTTAAACAGCTATTGAAGAAAGGAAAAGAACAAAAGGATACCACACATTCAGTAGTAAAGTTTGGAGAATACTTTTTCTTTTTCCTAAGCTCTGGGTTTTGAAAGAAAGCAAAATTGTTTCTACTTGGAAAATAATGAAAAAGGAAACTATATCTTAATATAAATTACAGAAACATTGGTCAGAGTTGAGTTGGTTGTTTTCCATATAGAAAAGGAAAATAATAATTTAAGACCTGCCACCATTCTTTGTACTTAACTACTGTAATACTTAGAGATTTTATTTCATAGTTTGGACATAGGCAAGAGCTTTATGGAAGAGCAATTGTTAAGTAATAATTACATAATGAACATGTTGTCTACTACAGGTAATAAAACTTCACTTCTTCAGAAATAGCACCCCAGAAATCCTTTTCCTTTTAAGCATACACCATTCTCTAAGGCTCAGAAAAATGGCCCTTTAATTAATGAACCTTTTCACTTCTGAATGAGAAACAATGCTATTAGAAAGAACTCTCCTATTTACAGATGTACAGCTCATTGGCTGCCATCACTTTCTTGGAGACAGCACTGTTAATAATGCTATAAAAAGCAGTGATTCAAACAGGCTGGTTTCCCATTCAACACTGATACCTGCTCACACATTTTCCTTGTCAAATTCACATATGAAATACATGGTGATGTGGCAAGCCACGTCATTCCAGCCCCCAGAGGCCACCATTTCTACACAGTCCTCCTCGTCGTAGGCATTGTTAGGCTCACCATTCCGCCACTTGCTGAAGGTCTGCATGGGGGACCGGTCTGAATAAACAAAAGTGCCCTCTTTTTCGAGGTCATTGATCCCAATGAAAATTCGAGTGAGGCCTGCTTGAGTGATGTAAGAGGCAATCAGGCCGTTGGAGGTCTCATCTTTGGGCATGCTCAGCATCCCTCCTCGCCCTTGGCAGGACTGCTGGGCATCCACATACCTTTTCTCTTCCTTCACCAGCAGATAGATCCTATTAGCTGACTCTTGCACACCAGCGACAGCTGCAGGGGAGGGCAGTGCTGAAAAGTGAGCACTTGCATTTCTATAAACAAACTTAATGCACACCACACACAAAAAGTAGACACAGACATCAGAGAGGATCGATAATATGGAAATATTAGGAATCATTCTATTTTGGGGTGCTTAAGGGTGCTGGGAAGGCAGTCTGTATGGAAAAAGGGGAAAGTGTTGAGAAGAACATACCATTTTTTATGAATTTTAACTCATTTGTCAATTGAGTGACCAGGTTATCCATCTCCCCAATGGCCTTCCTTAGCTGGCTGCATTCACATGGTATGCCTGCAAAGACCAGGGTCATTGTATCATAAAGAGTAAGCACAGGAATGGGGTCCAAAAATAAGTAGATACCTTCTCCAAAAACTGTATTATATTCAACAAATAGTCCATGCAGATCTTTAAAGACATGATAATGATTTTGGACTTTATCATAAGGGCAAAGAGAAACCATGAAAGGTTTTAACAAGTAAACAAACTGATTCATGTTTTTAAAATAGCATTCTGGTTGCAGTGTGAAGAATGAAATGGAGGAGGCACAGGGACAAGAAAGGAGGCAGAGACATCAGCTAAGGAGTTCTCAGAGAAACTGAGAGAAATAATAAGGATGGATAGTCTGCATTAGGGTGGCAGTGGAGATGGAGAAAAGTCAAAACTGTTTTAGAAAAATTTTGGTGGTAGAGCCAACATGATTAAATGATTGCTTGAACATTGAAGTGAACTGAATGAAGTTGAAGGACATATCTAGGTATCTAATTTGAGTAACTCAATGGAAAGTAGTACTATTTATTGTTCCGACTTGGGGAAGAGAGGCACGGTGAACTAAAAGTATTTATGAGATATCCCAAGTCGAGAATCTTAGTTGACCAGTTGGAGCTCTAATGAGAAGTCTGAGCTAGACATACATAATTGAGCATTATTGGCCTATATCACAAGACAAAGATGAGGCTTTCTGCTTCCCCAAAGATTTACAGCCTCAAAAACCCTACACAGGGTTGCTGTGATTTGGCACCAACTCCAAAGCACTTAACTGTGGACTGAGGAAGGGAGTTTAGATCAGCCCTTGAAGAAACACTAACATGTAATGGATGGAGAAGGAGTCAGGAAATGAGACTTAGGAGAAATGCACAAAGGGAATAAGGAATATGTGGTATCATAGAAGTCAAGGAGAGAGAAAGCCTCAAGAAGAAGGGGAGGGTGTGGCGCTACTGAACATCAAGAAAGAAGATGACTGAAGGTTGCCCTTTGGTTAAACTACATAATTATCATTGAGACATCTCAGCAAGAGCCATTTCAGTGGAATGGTGGAGCAGAAGACAGTGGGAGAGGAAGTAGTCCATGGAGGCACTGAGTAAACACCAAACTAACAAAATCTGGATGTGGAGCAGAGAAGCAAGAGTACTAGAGAGAGCCAAGAGTCAAGTGTGGGTTTCTGTGGGACTCTTAAAAGATAGTTTTGCTTTAGGATAAAAATCTGAGTATATATATAAAAATGATGACAGAAAGGAGCTGATTGAAAGATATTAAAGATAAAGACTGTGTCTATCCTCATATGCCAGGGGGCTTCAAAACTGTCATGAAAAAAAGGAATGAAAAGATAATGGAATTTTTCCACGAACTTTTTGAAGTCCCCCTGTACAGTAGGGCATGTAAGTTTACTGATAAGGCAGGAAATTCAGGACGCAGAGTACAGGTTTAAAAAAATGAAATAATAATAATAGCATTTTTTGAGCATTTCTACATCACCAGGTATGACTCCAAATATTTTACAGATATGAAGGAAATTTTTAAAAAGTGGGAAATTTTCACTATCTTTTGATTCTGGCTGTCCTCAAACTTTTTGAAGCCCCTCATATTAACATATTTAATTTATGATACTATTATCATCCAGTACAAAACATCCATACTATTGTTTTACATATGAGGAAATTGAGACAGATAGATGTTTGTCACTTTAGTGATCATCACAGATCAATGAGTGTCAGAGCAAATATTAGAATCCAGGCAATCTTGCAGAGTCTAGCTCCAAAGCCTATTTGTGTCTCCCAAACTAGGCTAGCCACCAATCATCTATCAGTTTGTTGCACTGTGGTGATTTGCATGTTGCTGTGATCCTGGAAGCTAATGTCACTAGTATTTTGAATGCCAGCAGGGTCACCCAGGGCAAACAGATTTCAGCTGAACTTCCATATAAGAAAGGCTCAAATCAAGAGGTGGACTACTTCCAAATTATTAGCCACTGAAAACCTTATGAAATATCAATGAAACTGCCCAATAGCATAAGAATATTGAAACATGATGAATAGCACCAGAATATTGTCAGATACAGATGAACCCCTCAGGTTGGAAGGCACTGAAAACATGACCAGGGAAGAGCTGTCTCTTCGAAGTAGAGTTGACCATGATGACACAAGTGGAGTAAAGATTTCAGGGCCTTCATTTACTGATGGGGTACAACTCAAAATGAAGGGAAAGAGCCACAAACATCCATTTTGTTGTTGTTAAGTGCTGTCAAGTTGGTTCCATCCCATAGAAACATCCATTAATAACTGGAAAATTGGAATTTCTCAAAAAAATGTAATGGAAAATACATAAGGTAATACAGAAACGTCTACAATCATATATTGACAGAGAACTTCCTTAGGTTCAAGCCGGATTCAGAAGAGGCCATGGAATGAGGGGTGTCACTACTGATATCTGATGGATCTTGGCTGAACAAAGAATACCAGAAAGATGTTTACCTGTGCTTTATTGACTACGCAAAGGCTTTCGATTGTGTGGATCATGACAAGCTATGGACAACATTGCAAAGTATGAGTATTCCAGAACACTTAATTGTGCTCATGACGAATCTGTACATGGGAATACTGAATGTTTTAAAATTAATAAAGGTGTGCGACAAGGTTGTATTCTTTCACCATACTTATTCAACCTGTATGTTCAGCAAATAATCTGAGAAGCTGGGTTTTATGAAGCAAAACGTGGCATCAGGATTGGAGGAAGACTCATTAACAACCTGCAATATGCAGATGATACAACCTTGCTTGCTGAAAGTGAAGAGGACTTAAAACATTTACTGATGAAGATCAAAGAGCACAGCCTTCACTATGGATTACATCTCAATGTAAAGAAAACAAAACTCCTCAGCACTGGACCAATAAACAACATTCTTTTCAACAGACAAAAGATTGAAGTGGTCAAAGATTTCATTATTCTTGGATCAACTATCAACACTCACGGAAGCAGCAGTCAAGAAATGAAACGACATACTGCATTAGGCAAATCTTCTGCACAAGACCTTTTTAAAGTGTTGAAAAGCAAAGATGTCAGCTTGAGGAATAAGGTGCATCTGACCCACGCCATGGTATTTTCAATAACCTCACATGCATGCGAAAGCTGGACAGTGAATAAGGAAGACCGTAGAAGAATTGATGCTTTTGAGTTATGGTGTTGGAGGAGAATATTGAAAGTGCCATGGGCTGCCAAAAGAACCAATAGATCCATTTTAGAAGCAATGCAGCCAGAGTGCTCCTTGGAGGCCAAGATGGCCAAACTTTGTCTCTCCTACTTCGGATATATTGTCAGGAGGGACCAGTCACTGGAGAAGGATATCATGTTTGGTAAGGTAAGGGTCAGAGAAAAAGAGGAAGACCCCCAATGAGATGAATTGGCCAAGTGGCAGCATCGATGGACTCAAGCATGGCAATAGTAGCAGGATTGGGCAGTGTTTCATTCTATTGTGCATAAGGTCACTGTGAGTCGGTACTGACTTGATGGCATCTAACAACAACTTCTAACTATGTCTTTGTAACCTCCCACCTAATGACTTTTACCTACTGGGTAAAAGAAGGTGGGGGAAGACGTTGATAGTATTTATGTGGTTGAGTTGTAAGTGATTGTTAACAAGGCTAACTGTAATTGTAAAATCTTGGAAATCTAACGAGTGGCTTTGTCAAGTTTGCCATCCTGCTGGGGATATATCAATGAGCCATCTTAGTGATATGTGTGGGCAGCGCACTCCACTCAGTTGCTTGACTAACCAAGCTCACCTCCGTTTGACCTCAAGTTCTTGACACTTGAGCTGGAGGCCTGACCTGACTGGCCAGCTTCCACAGCCTGGTGAGTCAACAGCCTAATTTGGTATGAGTGAGGAGAATCCTCCAGACCTGCAGATTTGGGATGTGCCAACCGCCACAATTGTGTGAGACATTTCATTGAGAGCCTGCAAGTTCTGTGAGCTATTGCAACAAACTGTGGAACCCTTGGATGTCAGGGAGAATACTGAGGGAAGAAGTAGTGATTGATATCAGGAATTATGTCAGCATGGGACTGTGAACCACAAGCTCGGCAGTTCAAGCCCTCTAGTTGCTCCTCAGAAACCCTATAGATAGTCACTATGAGTTGGAACCAACTTGATGGCATTTAGCAACAGTATAGCAATTTAGAAAAGTTAGACATTTGGGATAGCTTTATCCTCCACTTCATAGGGACCAGCCCTGTGCTGATCCTTCTAAAGGAAATTATTGTTGAGGTAAATAAGGACAACGTTACTATAATAGCATAACTAAAATATTGTTAAAGTAACAATTAAAATGTTATTTTCTTGTATCTATTTGTAATTTTTGAGACCCTACTATGCACCTTGTTTTTATTAATTCGTTTAATATGATTCAAGTATTTCATAAGAAACAAGTGAACTAATGGACAGGACCACATTATTAAAGACATCATTCGTTCGTTCAAAAAATTATGTTGGTGTCTATTAAGTAAGGCCTGTGCTATAAGCAATAGATAAATTAATAAACACACAATCTGCCTATGATGGGATCATGGTCTTGTTGAAGACTTTTTGTTTTTTTAATCACATTTGACTTGTTGTTGTTGTTGTTGTTGTTAAGTGCCGTCGAGTCGATTCCGACCCATAGCGACCCTGTGCAGGGTTTCCGAGGCTGTAAATCTTTACGGGAGCAGAAAGCCTCATCTTTCTCCCACAGAGTGGTTGGTAGTTTCGAACTGCTGACCTTGCGGTTTGCAGCCTAATTTGTAACCACTACACTACCAGAGCTCTGACTACCACTTTATAATTTAGGAAACTTTCCCATCCATCATCTCATTTGTTCTCTCTGCAGAAACCTTATGATTAGGTATCATTTTCAGATACAGGATCTGAAAATTGGAGTAGTATTCATAGATATGGCATAGTATTTAAAGTTTTCAAAATAGAATCTGTTCAAGTTAAAAAATATACACATATCTATGTATCTTTCCATTGCAGTACTGTCTTCCAAACAACTGTAATTGATGATTACAGAGTGAAGTGTAAACATAAGTAAACTCAACTATGTATGCATAACAAAGGATGCAGTATGGATGTTTTACTATGGAGCCTAACCTGCAGTGAAGGACAAATAAACCCCTCAGTCAATTACAGCCACACTGCTCCCCATCACAAACTGAAGTCTAGAATTATCCATGTTCCTGCTGCAAAATCAGATTTCACTAACATCATTTTGACTTAAACCTTTTCCTAAAACAAAACTCTTTATCAATAAGAAAATGGCCATGCTGACTCTGTTTAATTAAGTAGATATGTAATAATGCCCCCTGAGTACCAAGTGCTAGAGATTCAACGTGAGTAATAGGCAGACCCTCCCTTCATTACATTCTTCATAACAAGTTTTATGATACAAAATAAAATAAGGTTAGGGCCAAAAGAGAGGGAGACTCAAAGTATTATGGAAACACAGAGCATGAGGTTACCTGTGTATGCAGGAAGGTTGCATGGACAAGTAACACCTCAGTAGATTTTAAATGCTAGGTGAGAATATAAGGAAACATCATTGGGACTGAGAAGGAGGTATCCTAGTGTGGTGCTGCAGGTTAATGTGCTGGACTGCAAAGTGGGGTTGAACCACAAGGCTGGTGGGTCAAGCTCACCAGCTTATATAGAGTAGCTGTGAGTTATAACCGACTCCATGGCACTTAACAATGACAGTCCTTAAAAGAGAAATGGATTGAGCAAAGACTTGGGGGAGAAAAAACCTACTAGCCCTTAGTGTAGAATCTGTGAAAGGAAATTGAGGGAGACAAGGATGAAAATAGAGAATGAACCTCCAAGAGAAGAGTTTTTAAGACCAGCTAAGGGGTTTGGTCAAGGAGCTCTGGCAGCGTAGTGGTTACGAATCGGGCTGCGAACCTTAAGGCCAGCGGTTCGAAACTACCAGCCGCTCCGCGGGAGAAAGATGAGGCTTTCTACTCCCGTAAAGATTTACACCCTCGGAAACCCTGTACAGGGTCGCTATGGGTCGGAACCGACTCGATGGTACTTCACAACAACAACAACAAGGGGTTTGGTCAGGGACAGATTACTCAATAAGCAAGGTTTACTGTGCTTACTTACTAATCTATAGTGAACAATTTCACATTTTTTCACCACATCAATGATTCCATTTCTAGATATAGTTGGCATCTATTTCTCTCCCAACTCCAAAACACCTATCTGCAGAATCAAACTCTCTTTTCAAATTTATAATCCCAGAGACAGACAGAGTAAGTAATCCAGTGCTTACCTTGCTTACTGTGTAATCCACCTTTGAATTTGAGCCTTATTCTTCAGTAGAACAAAATACTGGGATTTTTAATAGGTTGCTGTTGTTGTCGTTAAGTGCCATCAAGTCAGTTCTGACCCATAGCGATAAGAGATATAAAATCAGAATCATGCTAGAGAACAATCTCTGTTCAATGGTGGTGTGCTGTTAAGTCGGTTTCTACTCATAGGGACCGTGTATAGGGTTTCCTAGGCTATAAATCTTTATAGGAGCAGAAAGCCTCATCTTTCTCCTGCAGAATGGCTGGTAGATTCAAACGGCTATAACCTTGCAGTTAGCGGTACAATGCGTAACCACTATGCTATCAGGGCTCCTTCTCTCTACAAAAGTGTAGATTATTATGTTTAAGGATGTAGGCTCTGGAGCCAGATTGTTGTTGCAGTTAAGTGCTGTTGAGCCCATGTTGATTCATAGAGAACCAAGTGATAAAGCAGAACTGACCACATGGTGTTTTCTAGGTTATAATCTTTACAAGAGCAGATCACCAGGTCTTTCTCCCCTGGGTCCACTGTATTTCTTGTTTCCACTTCTCCTTTTCCACTCTTCTTAGTTTTGTCTTCACACAGATGGTGCCATTTTTATCTGAAATGGTTGGACATTCTGTGGTGTGTGTACCTTACTTGTGTTGTTGTCTCCCCATATATTTATCTGTTGCTTGGCTGAAAAGTACAAACATCCAACCTTTGGGTTATAAGCAAAGCACTTAACTATTGTGGAGACAGATTACCTGGAATCAAATCCTGGCTATGTCACTCACCTTGGGCAAATTACTTAAGTTGTCTGTGACTCTGTTTCCACAACTATAAAATGGGATGATAACAGTACTCTCATACTATTGTGAAAGAAATTAAACAAGTTAAAACATGTAAGGTACTTAAATTCATCATTCTCAATTCTGGCTGGAATTAGAGTATCTTTAAGAGATTTTTTTTTAAATAACCATGTCCAGAAAGACCAGGCTTACAGATCAGATAGAGGCTGGTATAACCCCAAGACTCTGGCCCTTGGTTCACCCTTCAGCTCTGGAACTGAACTCACCCCAAGCTCAATTTTCAGCCAAGCAACAGATAGGTATATAGGGAGACAACAACACAAGTGAGGTACACACACCACACAATGGTCAACCATTTAAGATCAAAATGGCACCATCTACATGAAGACAAAACTAAGATGAGTGGAAAAGGAAGAAGGGAAACAAGCAATACAAGGGAAAAGTGGGACACATGACGCTACATTAAAGGGATTGCCATCACCGAGATCAAACGAAGTATGTATGATTTGTTGAATGTAAAACTGATGATCTGGTCTGTAAACCTTCTTTTCAGTCACAAGAAAAAGTTTTAAAAAATAAAAAACATCCTTATACCCACTCCCAAATATCCTAACTTAAATTATCTATACATCAGTATTTTTACAGAACCTCCTCAAGTGACTCTACTTTATAGTTAAAATTGGTATATAAATCTCAATGTTGTTGTTGTTGTTAAGTACCATGGAGTCGGTTCTGACTCATAGTGACCCTGCACAGGGTTTCCAAGGCTGCAAATCTTTATGGGAGCAGAAAGTCTCATCTTTCTCCCATGGAACAGCAGGTAGTTTCAAACTGTCGACCTTGATGTTAGCAGTCCTAAGTCTCAATACCCACTGACAAATAATATTGTTAGATAATAAGTTAATAGGGGAAAGGGACTGAGAAATGAAGAGTAGAGTATCAATTTAGTAATCGACATGAGAAGTAGTGAGTCTGAATCCAGGTGATGGTGGGAATACAGGGCTGGAAAGTAGAGAATTGAGAGGCAGTTTGGTGGGGATAGCAGTAAAACTTGCCTGACAATGGAAGTAGAAAAGGAAAAGTCTGAGTGAAAGTCTTAATTTTGTACATGAGAAGATGAATGTATCAATATAGAAATATGAAACATGGTGGGGCCAGAGGTTCTGGGAGAAAGATGAGGACCAATAGAGCCCCCTGATGGAAATGGCCATCAGACAAGTGGACATCAGAAATGAGTGTGTCCTGGGGGGAAGGGGGGAAGTTCACTATCAATAGCCATTTGTGTATCTGCCACGTGGAAGTGATGGATGAAGCCAGAAGAGAGGAAAAGGTGAATACCAAGAATGTGGACCAAGAAGAGAGGACCACAGACAAAACTTGGTAAATAAGAGAAGAAAAAGTAAAGGCAACAGAAAGGGCAAGCAGAAAGAAACGAGCTTCACCAGTATCCTAGGTCACATCAACATCAGGAAGTGGATGCTCAACAGGAAAACTATTGCAGCAAGCCTGAGCTAAATCCATTTGAGATGAATTAAGAGGTCACTGGTAACCTCAGAGGGAGAGAAGCTCCACTGGAGTCCATCTGTAAGGATAAATAATCTAAAAATTACAGATGTACTTGCTGAGAAGTTTGGTGGTACAAGGAAGGAAAGAAATACTGTGTTATCCAAAGATGCATTAAGAGCTGAGAAAAAAACAAAAACAAAAACTATAGGACAGGTATATCTGAACCTAAGGTTAAATACAAATATGATACTATATAGTAGTCAAACGGAATATAATCTTAAGAAGGATACCAAAATATTTTAGCATGCTCTTTTAAGAACTATTTCTATGCGATCAGTTTGACAACAGCAACTCAAAAGATTAAGTAGAAACCCTACCAACCAGTGACTTTATACTAATGAAGGAGAAACAACTCAGGAGAGGAGAGAGAGAATGGTTGTACAATTTGAAGACCTTAATCAATGGTACTAATTGGTACACACAGACACTGTTGAGGTGGTGCATGTTTTGCTATGTATATTTTTTTAATATTTAGGCAAAAGAAAATAAAATATTAAAATATTCTACAGGACCACCTGATTGGTAAGGGGAATATGTTTCATTATATGTATTTCCTGTTGCCTAGCTTATTACAGTTTCATATAATGATTTATACTTTTTCAAAAGTATAATTTTTAATATACTTTTTAAAATCCTTATACCATTTATGCCATACCTGGTTCTCCATTAGGACCAGGGGATCCTATATCACCAGAATCACCTTTTTCACCTGAAAAAGAAAAGCAAGATCAAATTCACCAAGCAGAGGTGGTCATGTTCCATTGGTTAAGAGGTATCAAAGGTTAAAAATGTTAGTTATTTTATGTATAATGTCCTGGGGGTTTCTCCTAGACCCTATGCTTACTATGAATTATAAGGAATTATATCCTATATATAATTATTCAGGACCTACTAATATGGTATGGATTAGTCAGTTCTGAAAAGTCTACTATATTTCATAGAAAACTACAGCTATCATCTCATAAATTTTTTAAATCACGAGCTAAGTGGCAACTAATTCTGATGCAATCTCTCTGCATGCTCCTCATTATAGCAGGCAAAGTCAGATAGATCACATAACTTTAGACTGGAGTGGACATTAGAGATTATTTAATGCAAAAGGAATCAGAAGTATGTATAACCTCATGCTGAGATCAAAGTCTTTCCTGACCCTCTTTTAAGAAACAGCACAGTGTAGTAGAAAGGTCCAAAAAATGAGAGACATAGGTTCTGGTCCTGGCATTAATCCTAACTACTTCTTCAATAGTACCCTGTTCCTCACTCATTTCTTCTCAGTGTAGTGGTTACGGGTCGGGCTGCTAACCTCAAGGTCAGCAGTTCAAAACTACCAGCCATTCTGTGGGAAAAAGATGAAGATTTACAGCCTTAGAAACCTTATGCAGGCTCACTATGAGTTGGAACCAACTCCATGGCCCACTACTACCACCATAAAAATAAAGGGATTTAGCGAAGTGATGTCAATAAAACTTTATAGCTACACTAAGATAAAACAAAAATATTTATATTCAAGTCCTCATGAATATTCTGAAGCACTATCTTTCTTCTCACTGAGAGAACACAAATCTCTTACCTGACATGGGATAGTGAAAGGGCAGGCAAATCCACATCTATAGGTTCATATTTTATTTGCAAAGATAGGTAAAAGAGCTAGGTGATATCCACCCAACTGATTCATCTGTGTTCTTTTTGTAACTGGGTGTTTTCTAAATATTATTTGTTGTTGTTGAGAATATACACAGCAAAATATACACCAATTTAATAGTTGCTACATCTGGTAGCATAGTGGTTATGAATCGGGCTGCTAACCTCAAGGTCAGCAGTTCGAAACTACCAGCTGTTCCATAGCAGAAAGATGAGGCTTTCTGCTTCCATAAAGTTTTACAGCCTCAGAAACCCTGTACAGGGTTGCTATGAGTCAGAACCGACTCCACGGCACTTAACAACAACAACATGTACAATTTAGTAAAACTGGTTACATTCTTCTTGTTGTACAGCTACTCTCACCTTCCTTTCCTGAGTTGTTCTTACTCATTAACATAAACTTACTGGACCTAAATTTTCTATTCAATCTTTGAATATGATCCCATCTAGATAATTCTTAAAACAACCTAATGTACAAGGCAGACCTTTTATACTAATTGTCATGGATTGAATTGTGTTACCCCATAATGTGTGTCAACTTTACTGGGCCATGATTCTCTAGTTTGGCAGCTGTGTAATGATGTAACAAGGCAGGTATGTAATGATCCCCCATGATATGATCTGATGTAAGAAGATTAAAGGTAGGAACTTAGTACCACCAAGAAAAAAGAGCCAGTAATAGAGCACATCCTTTGGACTCAGGTCTCTACATTAAAAACCTCCTATATCCAGGGAAGACTGATGCCAAGACACAGCGATCTCCAAGGAATGGCAGGTCTATAGATATTGAAAGGTAACAAGGAGAAAGAAGGCCTTCCCTAAAGCTGTTGCTGTAAATTCAAATTTCTAGCATCTGAAACTGTGAGAGAGTAAATTTCTGTTTGTTACAGCCATTCATTTCTGGGTTTTCTGCTATGTTGTTGTTATGTGCTGTCAAGTCAATTCTGAATCATAGCAACTCTGTATAGGGCTCTCAAACACTTGAAAGAGGTCTTTTGCAGAAGAGTTGCCTAACGTAATATATCAACTGATTTCTTGGTTGTAGATCCATGAGTGTTGGTTGTAGATCCAATCAAAATGAAGTCTTTGGCAACTTTCATCTTTTCAACATTTATCATGATGTTATTTATTGGTCCAGTTCTGAGGATTTTTGCTTTCTTTACATTGACGTGTAACACAAGTCTTTGATCTTGATCAGTAAGTATTTTAAGTTTTCTTCTTTTCCAGCAATAAGGTTATATCATCTGCATATTACAGGTGGTTAGTAGATTTTATTCTCTTAGCTACTATTATAAATGGAATTCTTTCCTAATAACCTTCTCAGGTTTATTATTGCTGATGTATAGAAATGCAACTGATTTTTTTTAGATGACCTGATAGCCTACAACTTTGCTACAATCCTGCATTAGCTCCAGAGGTTTTCTAGTGGATTCTCAGATTTTCTATATATAGGATTATATCATCTACAAATAAGGACGTATGCAAATAGATGTAATTTTACTTCTTCTTTTCTAATCTGGATAGATTTTATTTCTTTTTCTTGTCTTATTGCTTGGACTAAGGCTTTTAAAATAATACTGAACAGAAGTGAGAGTGGGGAACCTTGTCTTGTTCCTGATTCAAAAGGTAACTTTTAATATTATATGTAATGTTGACTGTCGCCTTCTCATATATGTCTTGAATTATCCTGAGTAATTTCCCTTCTACATTGCAATCTTCTTCAGGGTTTTCCTCAAGAAATGGTGTTAGATTTTATCAAATATTTTTTCTACATCCATAGAGATAATCATATGGTTCTTTTCCTTTGCTCTATTGATTATATTAATTTATTTTCTATTGTTGAACCATCCTTGCATTCATGAAATAAATTCCACTTGGTCATGACTCTTTTAATATACTGTTGGATTCTGTTTGCTAGTATTTTGTTGAAGCCTCTATATTTATAAGAGAAGTTAGCCTGTAGTTTTCTTTTCTTGTGGTAACTTTGTGTGATTTTGATATCAGGGTTATTTTTGTTTGATAGTATTAATTAGGAAATATTTCTTCCTTCTCTTTCTTTTGGAAGAGTTTAAACAGTATTGGTGTCAATTCTTCTCTAAATGTTTGGTAGAATTCCCCAGTGAAGTCATCTGGTCCAAGGCTTTTCTTGTGTGGGGGAGCTTTTTGATCCTTGATACGATCTCTTCATTTATATTGGGTCTGCTCTGTTGAGGCTTTCTTTTCCCTGAATCATTTGGATATGTTCCTTTGTGTGCTTTATATCACAAACAGTGGTGACTTGAAAAATGGTTGAAAACTCAACAAAGAAAGACCCATATGGTAATCTCAGAAATGTAGCAAATCAAATAAATGAAGCCAAATAAGGGTGTTCTTTACAAGGTTTCATTTGGGTAGATAGTGAAATTTACCCAGAGCACATGTTATACATAAGAAGTAGACATATCTCTTATTTTATCATGCAGATGTACGTACATTTTAAATAAATCAGTGCATCAATAGTACAGGTATTCACCCTGATTTTCCAGAAGACACAACTGAGCTTATCTGGCCACACTTTCAACCACACCCTTGAACTCAGAAACCTTTCTTCTAGGTGAGACTTGGGGCTCAGGTGGATTATGTGGCCATGGAGCAGAACAAACTAACTGAAATCATTCATAGAGATAACCAAGTTGTTGGTAACAGTTCCTGGGTTAACCTACTCTAAGGTAGATTAAGAAGCAGAAGGAACCTGGGCACCAGAATGAGGCACCTGAGATTCTAGAGTCAAACTCCATCTCTGCCTCTAATTTTCAGAGTAACTTTGCACCAACTTCTAAGACCCTCTAGCCTCAGTTCCCTAATTTCTAATACCTATTTAAAAAATAAAAACAAAAAACTGTTGCCATCGAATGGATTTAGAGTAGGACTATTCCATGGGGTTTTCAATGGCTGTGATCTTTCTTCTGATGTCTCATTTACAACAGATTCTGTCAGGTTTTTAGTTAGTAGCCAAGCATTTAACATTTTGTACCTCCCAGGCACTCCTCTAATATCTATAAGGTATTTCTACTGAAGGGGCCCTGGTAGTGTAGTGAATTAAGAGATGGACTGCTAACTGCATCATCAGCAGTTCAAATCTTCCAGTCACTCCCCAGGAGAAAGATGAGACTTTCTGCTCCCATAAAGATTTACAGCCTCAGAAACCCTATTCAGAGTCACTAAGAGTCAGAGCTGATTCAATGATACATAACAAACAGCAACAACATACTTGTAGAGGGAGTTCTGGTGTGGCACTTTAGGATAAGCACTGGTCTGCTAACCACAAAGTTGGTGGTTCAAACCCATCAGTCATCCCTGTAAACTCTATAAAGGGTCACTATGGGTTGTAACAGTTGTAACTTAACAGCACTTAATAACAACATACTTGTATGGAGATTTTAATGAGGTAATTCACTAAGAAATGGGTGACTACTTACTCAATGCCTTCCTTAGCACCTCAATGTCTGGTCACCATTCTAGAGTATAGCACAGGTGTGAAACAAATTAGGAACTCAGAAAACATTTGTTGATTCAGTCATGATAAGAAAATATGAGAACAGTGCAATTTTGAGAAATCCCTTAACTGCCTTGGCCATCAGTCTCTTCATCATGAGAATAATAATACCTGACCAACCATCTCACCTGGTGTGGTGCTATAGCATAAGCTACATCTGATATCTGAAAGATCAGCAATTCAAACCCACCAGGGATTCTTCAGAAACAGTACGCAGGGTTGCTTTGAGTCAAACCACCTCGACAGCACACGTAACAACAACAAACCATCTCCCCAAGGGCTTTATGTGAAAGTCAAATGAGGTAGCAAAATGGACATCACTTGAAAATCTCAGGTGTTAAATGAATCCAGGCATAGTTACTAGTGATACTGCGTTTGCATCTGTTGTTGCCATCCTGTTTCCGGTTTGTATGAAAATTAGCCTACATCCTTGTGATAGTTAAGGTTTTGTGCCAATTTAACTGCGATAAGATTCTCAGTTGTTTAGCAGTTAAGATGTAGTTATCACCTCCATGATGAGATGCAATATGAAGCAAACTGTGATCTGATGTGATCAGTTCTGATCTGATTTAATTATCCTATGTATTGTAAATCCTCACTTCTATGATGTTAATAAGGCCAGATCCATAGGACTAGGTTGTATTTTGAGTAAATCTCTTTAGAGATATAAAAGGAGAGAAGTAAGCAGAGCTAGTAGGACCTACTACCAGCAAGAAAGAAGAGCTGGGTGTGGAGTGTGTCTTTTGGACCCGGGGTCCCAGTACTAAGAAGCTCCTAGACCTAGGGGAAGACTAATGCCAAGATGCATGGAGTTCTACAAGGAATGATGGACCTTCAGATGCCAAAAGGAAACTAGGACCTTTCCCCAGAGACAACAAAGAGAAAGCCTTCCCCAAGAGTCGACACTCTGAATTTGGACTTAAAGTCTCTTAACTGTGAGAGAATAAATTTCAGGTTGTTAAAGTTGTCCACTTGTGCTATCTCTGTTACAGCAGCACTAGATAACTAAGACAACCCTCAAAATGTCTAAGAAAGTACAGCTGGAGAATAACAGACATAGGGTCTCTTGTAGCGTTATGAAACTTGTTAAGGAAGTTGTAGTTGAAAAATCAAAATCTTCCTCAAGCATCCCAGGGAGGCCTCCAGATCACAGTTCCTGATCTCTGGCCCAGTGACAGCATGTAAACCTCAGCTGAATTGGGATCATTTTGCTCCACCCTAGTGGGAACAAAACAAACAACTAACTCTGATTACTCACAAAATATAAACACTGTGAAAGATTAACCATGTATAATGCACACATCAAATATAATAAAAACACCAGGCAAGTTGGTTCCATTTGTAAATATTCTTGGAGTATTCAGATTCTAGGCATCTGAGAGTTTAATATGAGGCAAGAATAGAATCACAAATACCTTTAGAACCAACCGGTCCAATTTTTCCATGGCGACCCACACTGCCTTTCTGTCCTTTGTCACCCATGTCTCCTGCAGAAAACAATAAAGTTAAAGTTGATTATGCACCTGTTTCACATTATGCATATACACACAGACATTCTATCTGTATGCTGAGTATATAATCTGAGAAGCTGGAATATATGAAGAAAAATGTGAAATCAGGATTGGAAGAACACTCATTAACAACCTGCGATATATAGACAATACAACCTGCTTGATGAAAGTGAAGAAAACTTAAAAGACATACTGATAAAGATTAAAAACCCAGCTTTTGGTATGGGTTGCACCTCAGTGTAAAAAAACAAAAATCCTCAACACTGGACCAATACACAACATGCATATAAATCGAGAAAAGACTGAAGTTTTCAAAGACTTCATTCTGCTTGGATCAACCATCAACACTCATGGAAGCAGCAGTCAAGAAATCAAATGATGTATTGCATTGGACAAACCTGCTGTACAAGACCTCTTAAAATTTCCAAGAGCAAAGATGTCAGTTTGAGAACTAAGGTGTGCCTGACCCAAGCCATGATATTTTTAATAACCTCATATGCATGTAAAAGTTGGCCAGATAATAAGGAAGACTGTAGAAGAATTGATACATTTGAATTATGGTATTGGAGGAGAATATTAAGAGTACCATGGACTGCCAAAAGAACAAAACAATCTGTTGGAAGAAGTACAGCCAGAATGTTCCTTGGAAGCCAGGATGGCCAGACTTCATCTCTCATATTTCTGATATACTATTCAGCCATTGTAATCAACACATCTAGTATTGTTTCAGTGTTAGACACATAAAATAGTGGAATAGAATTGATAACTCAGGATTAAACCCAGTCATCTTCAGACAAGTGGTTATCAACAAGACATCAAAGTCCATCCAGTGGTGCAAGAACAGTCTCTTTAAAAAATGGTGCTGTCAAAACTGCATATCCACTTGTAGAAAAAAAAATAGGACCCACACCTGATACTGTGCATAAAAACTACCTAAAAAAATTATTCAACGACCTAAATGTCAAATCTAAAACCATAAAATTCCTGTCAGACAACACAAGACAAAAACTACAGAATCTAATCTTTTGTTTAAAATCTATAACAAACGTAATAACAAATGCACAAATAGATGAAAAAACGGACAATTGAGACCTCATAAAGTTTAAAGACATATACTAATCAAAGGACTTTGTTGTTATTGTTAGGTGCCATTGAGTTGGTATTGACTCATAGTGACCCTATGCACAACAGAATGAAACATTGCCCGGTCCTGGGCTAACCTCACAATTGTTGCCATGTTTGAGCCCATTGATGCTGCCACTTTGCCAATCCATCTCGATGGGATCTTCCTCTTTTTCTTTGACCCTCTACCTTACCAAACATGATATCCTTCTCCAGTGACTGGTCCTTCCTGACAATATGTCCGAAGTATGAGAGACAAAGTCTGGCCATCCTGACTTCCAAGGAGGACTCTGGCTGCACTTCTTTTGGCAGTCCATGGCACTTTCAATATTCTCCTCCAACACCGTAACTCAAAAGCATCAATTCTTCTATGATCTTCCTTATTCACTCTCCAACTTTCACATGCATATGAGGTTATATATATAACAAAATCAAAAGACTTTATTAAAGAATAAACAGCTTACAGCATGGGGGGTGTGTGGAATCTTGGGAAATGATTTATCCAAAAAGGTCTAAAATCTATAGAAAATTACAACAACTCAACAAAAAGAAAGACAACCCAGTCATAAAATGGACTAAGAACATGAACAGAACCTTTACCAAAGAGGAAATCCAAGCAGCCAACAAACATAAAAAATACAAATCAAAACCACAATGAGGCATCATCTTACCTTAGCTAAAATAGCTCTGGTGAATAAAAGCAAGGAGATTGGAACCCTTATCTGTTGTTTGTGAAACTATAAAATGGTAGAAACACTATGAAAAATGGTATGGCACTTTCTCAAAAAACTAGAAATAGAGCTACCCTATGATTCATCAATCCCACACCCTAGATACCTAAAAATAGTGATGCAAACAGACATATATACAACTATGTTCATTGCTGCTTTATTCACAATTACAAATAAGTAGAAACAATCTAAGGGTCCATCAACACAAAAATGGATAAGCACACTGTGGTACACACATACAGTGGATTATCATGCAACCATACAAAAATTATGTTCATGAAACATATCATGACATATATGGACCTGGAGAGCATAAAATTAAATGAAATGAATCAAGTATATAAGGACAAATATTGTCTTATCTTTATTTTATAAGAAGACAAGAATAGATAAACAGAGAAATTCCAATGTTCAATGGTAGTTACCAGAAAGAGGATGGGTGGAAAAAGTATATTGGATATAATACAATGGAGATTAGTTGTTTCTGATGATGGGAAAAGTAGTACTGATTATGAAGGTACATAGCACAACCAAAGTAATAATGAATGTTTGAACACATATGGATAGATACAGGCTGCTTGGCATATGAATTGGTACAGATGTCTACATAGGTAAGAACAGATAGAAGCATTTATAAAAACCAAAAGCCAAACCCACTGCCATAGAGTCTATTTCAATTCATAGCCATCCCATATGACAAAGTAGAACTATTCCATTGGGTTTCTGAGACTGTAAATCTTTACAGTAACAGACAACCTCATCTTTCCTCCTTGGAGCTCCTGGTGGGTTTGAACCCTGAACCTTAAGGTTAGTAGTCCACCGCACCACCACAGCCCCTAAACATATTGTTGTTATTGTTAAGTGCTGTTGAGTCATCAGTTCTAACTCATAATGACCCTGGATAGGGTTTCCAAGGAGCATCTGGTGGGTTTGAACTGCCAACTTTGGGATTAGTAGTTCAATACTTATCCTATAGTGCCACACCATGTAAGTATGTATAAATACAAATATGTGTGTACAAGCAAATATATTCATTGAGGACACAAATATGGATACCCCTGGTGTGGCGCTGTGGGTTAATGCGCCAGACTGCAAAGCCGTTTGAACTGCAAGGTTGGTGGTTCAAGCTCAGCAGCGTCTCCTTGAAAACCCTATACAGGATCGCTATGGGTCGGAACCGACTCGATGGCACTTATCAACAACAACAAAATATAGTGAGCAGTCATCTAATATACAACTACAGAAAGAAAGAAAGAAAGAAAGAAGTCTGTAAGATCCACAATCTCATCTACCCGAGACCAGAAAAACTAGATAGTAATCAGACACCACAACACTTACTGGGATCACAATAGTTGGTTCCTGATAGAATGGGTTGAAAATATGGAGCAGAACTCAAATTCTTGCTTAGAAATAAAAAAGGTCAAACTGGAATAGTAGAGGACCCCCTGAGACTACTGTCCTTTTTAAACACAGAATGAAGCCTATCCCCTGAGATCACCATTTAGTGAAATAACAGTGGCACACAAAATAAAGGATATTATACCCACTCACTTATTGGCATGGTTAGATTCTAAAGACCAGATTTTTATTGTGAAAATTGTTGTTACACAAAAATAAAGGATGACCACATCAGACCACATAATGGAGGATAACTAATTACATTATTACATAACTGCCAAATCACTGATAATCATAGGCCAGTCAAGTGGACACATTCCCTTAACTATCAAAGCCACCATTTGCCTTGCACTGTGGCAATCATTACTGCCACATGTACATTTTTAATGCACAGAAGTCAGATAGTAACTTTTTATTATTGTCATAAATGCAAATGTCAGATAATGAGATAGTGAGGAAAAGGCATACCTCTCAGATCAGTCTCCTACTTAAAAACCATCAGTCTAAGACCAAAAGGTCATAAATTTCTAAAAACCAAAAATCAGAAGATAAGGGGTTAGGGAAACTAGAGTACTAGAAAGGTATCAAGCAATATAATTAAAGAAAATGTTGACACATTGTGATAAATATAACTAATGTCACTGAACAATTTATGTAGAAATTGTCAGTGAAACTCTAACTTCCTGTGTAAACTTTCACTAAAAACTAAATAAAATATTATTTTTTTAAAAAGAGTGATTTAAATTCCAGTAAGATGGCAGACTAGGCCGATGTGCTACATGGACTTTCTACAACAAAGATACGAGACCCCAAAAAAAACAGATAGAGATGAAAATCCTGGAACCCTGAACTTCAAAAGAAAG